TATAAGTTGTCAAAGTTCTCACGAAAAACAACTCTTCGTGTATTTCTTGATCCATAATAAAACGATTATATGCTAATATTATTACCAGGCAAGAACAGAAATAATATCACTGAGAGAAACATGCTCATCTATATAAATAGCAGATAAGCACTACCTACCCTGGACAGACCACGAATTTATTCATGGTTAGTACTAGAATATCACGAAGCAACAATGTGGTCAACTCAAGATGGATCAAAATAAACACTACATCAAAAGGTAACAGTCTTGCTGATTAACTTGCCAAGAAGGCATCCAACCAAATACTTTTTGGACCTGACTAACAACTTCGGTATTGACAAACCTAATTAAAGAATATTTCTTTGTGAAATTCGAGGAAAAATGGGATGAAACAAGAAGCTGCAGACTTGCCCGGGATCTTTTAAGTTATCCTGACACTATAGCGAACAAATACTGGCTAGAATATATCCCCGATCACAGGAATTCTAACTGGACATTGCTAAGTACGGAAGCATCTCTATAATATGGGGCTGTTAGAACCCGTACTCTGCAGGAGGTGCGCATAAGAAGATGAGACCATCGAGTATATCCTCTACGATTGCCCGACGCTCTCATTTATTAGAAGATTTGTGTTCGGCAAGAATTGGCTAACACCGACCGATATAAGAAAAGAACCTCTTGGCGACGTTGGCAACTATATTAAATCTGTAGGCTGTGTTACGTATTTTTATTAAATCACGTTAATTAATGAAAATCTATGATTTAATTGAACATTACAGTTGAAAACATTAACGCTCGTTAATCTATTTCAATTATGTTATGTGAATTTTATTCAAAATTCAAACGTAGAAACATCCTTCGACTAAAGATTCGTAGTATAGTCATGTGTTTTGCGCATGCGAATTGGGCCTGCTATCGAGCATTATCGAGGATTTTCTTCGGGGGGGTTTATAGCATATGCGCATTTTGTCAACAAGTTACTGCGCATTGAAGCTGGCGTACGTCCGTTTTACAATAATAAAGTAAACAGTATACAAAATATCTCAATAAAAATGTGTAAGTAGCATGCAAAAAGTAAATAGTTGCACATTTTTTTATTTATCTATCGTAAAATTGAAAAAATAAGAATTTATTAAATTATTTGTCCAATGTAAATCTGGCTTTGGATAACAAGGGCCAAATATAAAATACAATAACAAACAATATGGCTGTTGATGTAGACAATTATAAGTGAGTGAGAAAATAAAACAACTCCAAATAGCCACATTTGAGAGGTTGGATTCCTTTCTTGGTTTAATTATAAGTGAGTTTTACTTTTATTTAATATAGTTTTAGGCATAAATTTAATAATAATTTACTGTAAGTAAACTTATTTCGATAGTTTAACATGTTTATGTCTTATAAATGCATATATACTTGTTGTGTAAATTGTTCTGGCCCATTTACACTGTTTTAGAACAAACATTTTTATTTTGTCAACTGAAAAAAAGGATTATTATTCGTATTCGTAATTGTCTTATCCCCAAATATTGAAATACTTAACAAAGCTTTAATTCTGATATTCATTTTGATAATAATTATTCTAGATATGCGAATTTAATTATATATTAACCAAGCTTTTTAATCTTTATAAATCTAAAGTATTTTCATTACATAAAGCAAGAAAATCTTAATTAGACGTTATAGAAATTAGAAGTAGTAAATTAAAAATTAGTTTAATCGCTGCAAATGCAAAAATAATTTATTTTGTGTTATTTAAAATAGTTGTTTATTCAGAAAATATGTATTATGTTTATTGTTATTATTGTAACCAATAAAGATTCTACAAAAAAATATTTAGTTAATACAATTTTGTATTATTTATTTTACACCTCTAAAATTATTTAACATAAAATTTTACATTTTTATTAGCATTTTTTAACACGCATGAGATGCAGGTTAAAAAGATGCTATTGAAAATATAAAATTCTTATATTTTGTCGAAGAAAATTCAAAAACCCGCCAATTTTCAAACTAAAATAGAATTACAGCTTTTTATATTACCAACTGAGTATTAGTTGCACAAAACTATCCCTTATGTCGCTGAAGACAAACATGTTGCCAAATTTCTGTGTGGGAATCTGCAACTCTTAATTATCCTTCCTCCATGACTTTCCTTTTGGTTTCTTCTCGTCTTGCAAGGCAGTACGGTTCCAGTGTACTAAAATTGATATAAATAATTTTATTATTTGTAATATTTTATAACGTAGTGCTAAAATTATTGTGTTCGGTGCAACTGAGGTAATTTAACTATTTTATTATCACCTTGTTTGAATTAGAAATTGTCAACCTTCACATAGCGTGGAACGGCTATTTTATTTTCTATTTTCATATATTGTTCATGTGCCAGTACTTGCAAAGGTGTACAATGGGTTTGTTATAAATTATCATTGCTTCCCTTATTTTTGCTATTTGGATTTATTTTAAGGTTTTTATCCTGGGATAGCATGTTATCTGAACAAACAATTGTATTTTTTCTTTTAATAATTTCGGAATATCTAAATTACATATGGTGGCTCTCAAGTCGTTTTTAATATTTAATTTTGTTACGATAATTATAAATCATTATATTATCTATGTAATATATAATTTAGATTTCCGACTTAATTTCAAGAGTTAACTAGAGTACCGAGGTTTCTGTTTTGTTTAAATACAGTGGCTCCAACAGAGGCTCAAAGAAAGCAATGGCTAAAAGAATATTGGCTGAAAGTACCTAGGCTCAGAATAACTTTTCATGGAAGCTGAGATTCCCTTGACTAAATTTATCAGAAGTCCGAAACCGTGTTGACTAGCTGCTCATTTTGGTGGGATATAGAAGCAGAATACATCATTCAGATTAGCGTCGTGAACAATGAACCGCCCACAATCTCAAAAGTTTGTCTGTTAATTATAAAATTTTAAATCAAGTTAAAATCAACCAAACCAAGTGTGTAAATTGTATTAACGATTATGTCATTCTTATTGTAATAAATCCTTTTTTAATTTTCATCTAACATTTTTTTTTGTTCCTAAATTATACATTTTCAGCTAAACTGATGAAATGTTCATGAAGTGATTATATTGTTCCGAAACTCAGTTTACAATTTTTCCCACGATTTTCATAATAATAAAGCAACATAAAATTATCTTTTCCTTAGCCCTTTTAGCACTTATCTTGTTAATTTATTTACGTAACTTTTTTTGCGAACAGCTTAAATCACATAATAATCAGAGTTTTAACATCATTTAATATCAATATAATTACGTAAAAGCTGGCACACGAGCTAGGAGGTGCCTATATATTTTGGAGGATGCACAATGAGCCTAGTGAGGCCTAAGTGCCATGAATTAACCCACCCTCCACACATTACAGATACCGGGCAAGGTTTACTTGTCCAGCTGTAATAGCGAAATAGGACGTTTACAAAAAATTACAAAAGAAGCTTTCAATCTCATAACACATTTCATCAATACACCTTTGACTGTGCTGTTGCTTAAATAAATTCTTTTAATGATATCAGATGCAGGTTTGTGTAATTCAGTCTTTAAAACTTCTTCAACGGCTAGCAATATTAACTTTTCTCCAATAGTATGGGGTTTTCCGGATTTTGCTATAAGTAGCAAGATACTGTAAGATGCTCGCAAACTATCATTATCTCTTTTTGACGTTAAAGCTAACACATTGTCCACTGTAGGTCTCTTCTGAACTTTATCTTTGAGTGTTTGAAAGTATGTCAAATATTTACCCATTTTATCTGGACATCTTCTCAAATGATCCTCCAGCTCAGATGGTTTTATAGCGTCATTGCTTAAAACTTTGTTACAAATTATGGTAGCAGTACATCGAACCCAGCGTAACACGATGCCACGAGAATGCAAGTTTGCATTCTTACGTCCATTTGCTTTATTTTATCTTTCATTTAAAAAGATTTGATTTAATTTAGATTTCGATGTAAGAACATTTAATAAATTTATATTTCTTGAATTTGTTTTTTAAAAAGTTATTTTGGACTTAATCACATTTATTTTGCATAAAAGGTACATAGGCAATTACTTATCCGACAAGAAAGTAATGAAACCAAATTTCAAATAATCAACCATGTAGACAATAACATTTCCTTTCAGCATCGGCCATTAATTAAATAATTTTACTAATTGTAAATCTACTGAGCAAATGATTTAGCTTTTCTCCAATGGAACAACTTTTTGGCAAAAAGGACATTGCTATACACATTTTTGTCCGCGATCTTACTTAAAAAGCTCAACGTTGAATATATCATATGTAGTTTAAAACACTAAAACAATCGATTGTGCGTACGTACGTCATACACACTTGTTAAAACGAATCTCGAGTCCAAACTCAAGGGGTCTGCTAGTAACCGTTGAAGAACATAATTGAAGATTCTGATGCAAGAAGGTGATATGTGCAAAATTTCCAAAAATGAGATTATTCTGCTTATAGGTAGTACATTTCCTTTCATTGTGGTGCAAATAAGATACATGTGCGACGAAAGGATATCGAGTTATAACAGAAAAACACATATCCCCTATGATGAACTGGTGCGAGAATGGTATGTGTCCTGTAACTTATCTCGATTTTGTATCACAAATAGTTGTATTTTTAAGATACGTCAAGTTCATCTTCCGACGCCAAGTTCATCTTCCGAGAATGAACTTGTAGAACCCATAGAAGGGCAAGAAACAAACAACGCATGTGTTGGAAAAAAGAACGTCAATAATCATAATAATATCCTACGAAATTAGAGTTACAAGTATTTTTTATTTTTTTTTTTTTTTCATTATTTGTTTTTTATTTTTGTTTTAGCTGAGAAAGGGTGCATTCGAGTTACAAGTTTGTAAGCAGGATCTTTGTTTAATCCATGGAATCGACAAAAAGCGCTTAAAACGTATTGCAAGTCACTTGACAACCAGTTTAAACCCTGTCTCAAGACAAAAGAGGTAAGCCCGCTAATAGACCAAACATGATTTCGGAAGCTTTGAAAATGCAAGTTTATGAGCATATTGAGAGCTTTTCCAAACAAATATGCATTATTTTCAAACAAGAAGTAGTAGCCAGTAGCCAATATTTGCCCCCCGATTTATACCTACAAAAATTCGAACCAGAAACCTACAAACTAAAACAAGAGAAACTACCGTTTAAAGCTAAAATTTGCTATGATTCTTATGGTCGTTTGTTTCATGAAAATTTCAATATTAACTTTGGCTGTCCAAGGAAAGACACCTACAAGAAATGTGACATATTAGAAAACAAGATGCTCGGAGCGGAATCAGAAGAAGAGAAGAAAAGTTTCGGAACGCAAAGAAAGGCGCAAACGATGTTTTAAGCTTTTTACAATATTATATTAGTCCCGATGTAAAGATTTTATACTTATTTAGTAAGTAACTGTTGCGCCCAAAATAAAAACCGTACCCTTGTTCAATTTTTAGCAACTTTTTGTTATACAGGTAGATTTGATACAATCGTACATCGTTTTCCCGAGCCAGGGCACAGTTTTTTTTCCCTGCGACAGGTGTTTTGGCATAATAGAGAAGATCGTTTTTTTTACAGAAAGAGTATATGGAGATTGTAATGTCATCTTCACAGATTTTTCATGTCACTTCTGTTACCCTATATAAAGTATTTAACTACACTGATCATTTGAAAAGTTTTTTTTATCCTTCCCCAAAATCTGAAACAAAAGAAAAGTTGTATCGTGTATTGAAATACACCAAAAATATAGGTGGCGTTGCCTGTAGCCAGTGTTGCCAGTCTAGTACAATTGTACTAGATCTAGTACATTCTCTGAGAATCTGGTACTCTAGTACACTCGAAACAAAATCTAGTACTTTTTTCAGCGTATGTTTCCATTTGAAGTGTAAAATATATTAGTCAAAAATTGCAAGAGAAATTAAAATAGTTGTTAAAAATTACTTCAGAGATAAAATAGTAGACATTTCTCGAGAGATAAAACATTGTTTAAAAATTGCACCAGAGATCAAATATTGTTCAAAAATGGCTTGAAAGGTAAAAAAGGGTGTTAAAAATTGGTCGAAGTATAAAATAATATTAGAAATTGCTTAAGAGATAAAATATTGTTTAAAAATTGCTCTAGGGTTAAAAATACTGTTAGAAATTTAATGAGATAAAAATATTTAATAATTTTTCGAGAGATTAAATAATATTATAAATTGTTAAAATCGGGTTCAAAAATTGGTCGAGGTAAAATAGTATTACAAAATGGTAAACCCTTCTTCAAAAATTGCTCGAGGGATAAAATACTATTGAAAAATTTGTTGAGAAATAATATATTGTTCAAAATTGACTCAAGAGATGCAGACTATTAGAAATTTCTCGAGAGATAAAACATTGTTTAAAAATTCCTCGAACGAAAAAATACTATTAGAAAATGCTCGAGTGATAAAATATTGTTCAAACATTGCTCGAGATATAAAACATTGTTAAAAATTTATCGAGAGTTAAAATATTTTTTTAAATTTGGCGATAGTTAAAATATTATGCAGTTTGCTAAAGAGATAAAAAAGTTGTTAAAAATTGCTCGAGAGAGAGAATAATGTTAGAAATTTATCGAAAGATAAAATATTTTTTAAATATAGATCAAGAGATAAAAAAAGGTTTAAAAACTATTTGAGAGAAAAAAAATAGTATAAGTTATTAAAATTTTATTCAAAAATTACTCGAGAATTAAAAAATACTGTTAAACATTTCTCGAGAGATAAAACATTGTTTTAAAATCGTTAGAAAGATTCAAAATTTTAATAAAAATTACTCGAGAGATAAAATAGTGTTAGAAATTATTAAAATTTTGCTCAATAATTGCACGAGACATCAAATATTATTCAAAAATCGCTTGAAAGGAAAAAAGGCTGTTAAAAATTGCTCGAGTGATTAAATTGTGTTAAAAATTGTACAAACATTTCTCGAGGGATAAAAAAAGTTGTTAAAAATTGCTCGATAGGTGAAATAATGTTAGAAATTGTTAAAATTTTGTTCAAAAATTTCACGAGACATCAAATATTGTTCAAAAACAGCTTGAAAGGCGAAAAAAGGCTGTTAAAAATTGCTCGATTGATTAATAGTGTTAAAAATTGGACAAACATTGCTCGAGGGATAAAAAAAATGTTAAAAATTGCTCGAGAGATAGAATAGTATTGGAAATTTATCGAGAGATTAAATTATTTTAAAAAATAGCTCAAGAGATAAAAAAGGCTTTTTAAAAACTGTTCGAGAGATAAAATATTATCAAAAGGTATTAAAATATTTTTTTAAAATTGCTCGAGAGATGAAATAGTGTTAGAAATTGTTAAAATTTTGCTCAAAAATTGCACGGGAGATCAAATATTGTTCAAAAATAGCTTGAAAGGTAAAAAAGGCTGTTAAATATTGCTCGAGTGATTAAATAGTGTTAAAAATTGTACAAAAAATATTGTACAAACATTGCTCGAGGGATAAAAAAAAGTTGTTAAAAATTGCTCGAGAGATAGAATACTGTTAGAAATTTATCGAGAAATAAATATTGTTTCAAAATAGCTCAAGAGATAAAAAAGGATTTAAAAACTGTTCGAGAAATAAAAGAGTATCAAAAGGTATTAAAATCTTATTCAAAAACTGCTCGAGAGATAAAATGGTGTCAGAAATTTGTCGAGAGATAAAATATTGTTTAAAATTGTTGTGTTCGTGTTCTCTATAAACAATTTATGCTCTTTAATGATCATACTTCATAATTAGAAAAATCTAGTAATTTTATAGAATCTAGTACATTTTTACGAAATCTGATACATTTTTTAGGTAAATCTGGTACATTACAAAAATATATTCTGGCAACACTGCCTGTAGCGCCTCGGCTAGCTCCGATGCTCTTCTTATAAATTTTGTATTGTTGGAAAACAATGCATATTCTACAGTGACTGACGTGGGACAGGCTTATTTAGATAAGTTGACTTAATAAGACTTGACATATAAAAACGTAATCAGATGTTAGTGACTTCGATAATTCTAGCGGAAAATAAGGATTTTTATTGAGCACACAATGTTTTTTTAAATTTAAATATATTTTTGCATTTTTACATACCTAATTCTACAGAAGTTGTACTCGTTCTAAAATTCATTGCATTTGATTTATCATATTACCATATTTTTAGTTTTTATTTCTTAGTAGTTTCGCTTATTTTTATAAAGGGTTTATATTATTAGTATTTAAAAGTAGTGTATTTGTTACTTATCCCTTTCTTGCACGACCTTCTAATATACCAGAAAGTAGAAACGGGTTAATATATACCTTTTTTGAACCATAAAACTTTTTTCCTAAATTTCTAGCTTATTTACGCAAGTACCTATATCTTTATCTTTATACAGACAAAAAACTTAATTTTTTTTATCTATAAGTACCTTGAATTGCATTAAAACCAACATAAAAAAAAAATTGTCTCTCCTGTAAAATCTAAGAATTGTTACTTGTTCCCTTCTTCAATTTTCGAAATTAAAATTCAAGTATGAGTGTCTAAAAGTGCCCGAGACACTTTCGTAGAGATAACTTAAAAAAAAGTTTTTAGATTAATGTATAAATATTGAAGAGTATATATTTTAGGAGTCTTCTCTCTACTGAACTCTTCGCCCACTTAACTTTTTGAAACCTTCCTGTGAGTTATTACAATTTACATTCCTGTTATAAATTCTTTAAAACATGATAATAGATAAATATTGAGAAGCAGGAAAAACGTTATAGGTAACTAAAAACTCAGAAATACGTAAATAATCGTCTACAATAAATTGTGAAATAAATACAAAAATTCATATTTAAAAAATGACCAACATTCTACTCTCAACTTCAAACAAATGCATTATTCACATACCATACAATCTGTTAACTTTACATTAAAATGGTCTGCAAATACAAAAGCATATTTGACAAAATATTGTAGTAAAAGTATGTATGTGAAACAGAAAATATTTTTGAATGTTGTTAAAAATGTTTAGATAGAATTGGTGGCAGATTGGAGCAGGGTCAGATTAAAAAAAATTGTTTGCTCGGTACAAGTATGTATTTGATAAATTTGGTTTGTATCGCTTATTGTTGCAATTGTTTAAAAATTATTTTCACCACACTATTCTAACGATTATTCTGTTATATATAGAGTTGACAAGGGGGGTAGCCATGTGTGAGTTGAGGTAATTTTAAGGTGAAGGGGGAGAAAAAGTCCTTTATATCTCACAAGGAAAGTCAATGTTTAATTATTTAACAAAACATTGAGTGCGACCGGTTTCGAAGTGTCATCACTTCATCTTCAGGCTCGCCTAGTGGAAAGGAGAATATGTGGTGTAAGGTGTGTTAACACTTAGAGCAAACGATATATAAAATAGTAAAAAAGGAGAAAACTCACTATACTCTCCATCCACTAGGGAATACTACAAAACAAGTTTCATCAAATGTTGGGTGAAATAAATTGTAAAATGAACAAAGTTTACAAGCAATAAAAAGTTAAAAATATTTGAAAAACAAACATTAGTCAATTGAAACAGTAAAATTTAAAACATTCAAGACTATACAAAACAAATCACATACATTAAACAGATTAAAAGATAAGGCTTATTTTAAACAACCATGTTTTTTCAAAAAACTAACATTTTTGAAAGGAGACCTGTCAAGTTAAGGCCTCTACAGGTGGTGGCAAGTATTAACAAAAAAATTCTTGGGCAAACCCATGACAGGATATAGGTAATAAGATGTAAACTATGAGTGAAGAAATATTTATTATTTATTATATAAGATTTGGGCCATGAACCAATCACCAAGTGTATGTGATGTTGTAGGAAGAAGAAAGAAGAAGAAATGACTGGGTTAACTGTTGTGAAGCAACTGAAGAATAAAAGAAGAAAAGAAGAAAATGACGGATGTGAAATCACACAATCTAACCTAATCTTTAAACGTGCTCGTTGGTTTCTTATGGGAAAAAAATTACTTACTGAAATGTACCCCTTGCAAGAAAATATGTGAATAGAAATAAAGGGGAGGTTAAAAAGGAAGTTAGAAAGATAAATTTAGATTAGTGTTGAGAAAACAGGAGGAGTTTCTGACAATATCTGGGCATTTAAGCAACCAACAGGATTTAATTTTAAATTTCACAATATCTCGAGGCTTTCGAAGCTATTAAGAGTAAATCTATGGTAGGAACTATGTAGGATTTCGAAACCTTCAGTTGAATCGAAGTCGTGATTTGAGTCCAGTAGGTGGTTGGCAAAATGTGAAAAACCTGTTGTATTTTGGTTAAGACAACGCAAATGTTCTTTTAAACGGATCTTGAAATTTCGAAATGTGCGTTAACACAC